CTATGTTCAATTACCCTCTCCCATAACTTTAAAGTATGACACATCAACTTAATACCTCTATAATTTGCACACTCTTGTGCATCCCCTTTATTCTTAAAAATGGGACTAAAATACTCCTCCACTCCTCAGACATCTTTTTAATTTTTAAAATAATATTAAAGAGTTTAGTAAGCCAAGAAACTCTCAAATCTCCTAAATATTTCCACACTTCAATTGGGATATCATCAGGTCCTACAGACTTTCCACCCTTGGTTTTCTTTAAAGCCTCCTCAACTTCTTTTTTGCTAATGCGACGGTAAAAATGAAACTTTTTATTATTATTCATGATATTAAGATCCCTAAGGTCGATCGAATTTTCAGAAACTTTATTAAAAAGTTTATCAAAGTAACTCACCCACCTACGTTGAATATCTTTTTCTAAGAAAAGCACTTTCTGATTTTCATCTTTAATACACTTTACTTGAGTTAAATCTTTACGTTTCTTTTCTCTTTGTTTGGCTAGTTTATACATATATTTTTCACTCTCCTTAGTATCTAATATATTATAAAGATCATTAAAAACAAAATTTTTAGCGTCACAGATTGTTCTTTTAGACTCTCTGCGAGCCGTTTGATATTTTCTCTAGTTCTCTAAGTTTTTACATTTAAATCAATTTTTATAACATAACTTCTTATATTTTATCTTTTCTTGCACATTATTATTCCACCACCAACTATTTTTATTTGTAAATATTTTTCTCTTTGATTCTCCAAGAACATCTTTTGCTACCTGTTTAATAGCGTTTGTTACTTTATCCCACATCACATTTGTTTCTTCATGTATATCCCAAATTTTGAAATCTTGAATTTTACTCATAAAATTAATTTTATTTGTATCTTTTAAGTTTCTCCATCTAATTCTGCAATGATGAGTCCTAGTATTTTTTATTTTACAACTCTTAATCTTAAAATCTAAAACTAATAAACGATGTTGGGTACTTAAATTTTCACTTGAAACGACCTTCAATATTTACAATCGTGACGATTTCTTCTTCTCATAAGAAAATAATCAATGTGTTTTATTAGATCCACTCTTATAAGTAATAAAATGTTTAAATAAAGTATTAGTAATAACAAAATCAAACGCTAAAGCAAAATCTAAAATAACTTTACCTTCTTCATTAGTTACTCCAAAACCGTAGCCACCATGAATATTTCTGAAATCTTCTACCACTCTACCGACATGTCCATTTAAATCTCCTCCAATAAAACTTCTTTTTTCAAGAGGTATCATTTGTATTAAGTCTTCTAAGTCATTCCAAAATTTATCTTTAGACCCTGTATCTAAACCTACTTGAGGAGCATAAGCACTTATAATATTAAAAATCTTAGTATCAATGATAATCTTAAGGGTTATAATTCTATCACCAACTCTATTAATTTTTACAACATTATCTTTCAAACTCTTATCTATAATTACACCTACACCATTTCTAGTGCGACTCTTACCAGAATACCAAAATTTAAAACCTAAATTATCAATCTCCTTAGCTTTTTTTCTAACCCACTTAGTTTCTTGAATACATAAGATATTAATTTTCCTATGAATCATAATATCAACTAATTCCATTAATTTACCATTGAGAGTACCTATATTCCAAGATCCTATCCTAATATTAGTTTCATTAGTTTCATGAACTAACTTCTTTACTCGCATTCGCCTGTAATGTGGGAACCCTTGCTTATTTAATACTATACCCGGGCGCCGGTGTAGCGGCCCTTGCACACTTTTCACTGTATTCAGGCTATACAGTGCGTCGCTTCTAGGGGACGTCCTAGCACTTACACAATGATCAAAAGAATTCATGTTGTGATTTTTTTTCGACAAGTTTTACGCTGGCTATCGACTACCTAACGCAACCTTCCACTTTTCGCATCCGGGCTTGGGATCGGCAACGGCAGTGTTAAGGGGAGCAAAGAGTCATTTAAGAAAATTATTTTTTAAAATGTTAAAAACACGATCTTAATTTAATGTCAAGAAAAACCAATGTGTTTAACAAAAAATACTAATTCAGCAAACAAATCTTGCCATTTCTTAAATTATTTAAGAAAATAAAAAGTGATCCTAAACAAGAGAAGAGAAACGAGCATTCACAAATCTGATTCGATCCGACTTAGAATAGACACAAATTTTCACATAAATTAAGGCAAAGCAAATATTTTTTTTTAAATTATCCAAATTACTAAACACGAATACAAAGAAAAGCACCTGCAATTCGAAAGGTAAGCGATCTCTATCAATTTCTACAATTTGAGATGTAGAAAATCTCTCCCCCAAACCCTAAATCTAAGACTGACCACAATAATCTCATGCAAAACTCTAATCATAACCTATTAAGCTCTATTTATACCCAACAAGAATAATAATAAAAGAACAATTTGCAATTAGGCTAATAAAAGATGAATTGTCTGAAGTCAGTGCGTAACAATACTCCCGTTCCCAAAAAACACCTTGTCCTCAAAGTTAAAAAAAAAAAGTGAGGATGCTCCTCCACTACAACTGTCTCTATTTCATCCCCCATCTTCTTGTCACACACTATGAAAATCTATAATGTTCAATCTTTGCAATGGTGTCTAGAGGCAAACTTCACATCACACAGAAAACATACCCCTCTGGGTCGCCTTTCCTAATTCTCTCTTTGCAAGATGTTTGACACTAACCCCTAGATGGACCCCCATATTCTTCCCCTTTGGTGCCTCCTTTTGAAATGACACTGTCCAGGTCTTCAGTGTCATGGTCGTCGAGGCAATCTTGTGGAATTCTCCCTTGGTGTTGCTTTTGTTGGCCTTCTCTATGAGGCTCTTGTCCTCCATCATTTTCCTCAATACCTGTGATCCCAATAGTCGGAGTACTACCCTTATATCGAGTTTTAGGCCCTTCATGAAATTCCCCTTAAATTATAATTCATAAATACTACCCCCAAGCACCCAGACGTCCTAAAAAAAGTTCAAATCTCTCCCTATATTCCATGACAGTCCCGTCCTGAGTCAATACATAGAATTGCTTGTGTGGGTCATCTTTTCTAAATGGCTCGGAAACATTCCAACAAGCAATCCTTAAATTCCTCCCACATCGACCCATGTACATCTTCCCCACTAAAACCATGTTAGGTGTTTCCCCTCCGAACATAGCCCTGCCACTAAGAGCTTCTCCTCCCCATTTTAGTCCACTCACTGCTAAAAATCACTCGACCCAGTACATCGACCCATGTACATCTTCTCTCTCAAGAATCGACATCTTCAACTTCCTACCCCTAGAATCTCCACCTCAACTTCTCCATTCGGTGTTCCTCCCATGCATCGAGGGTAAAACTCTCTCATTCCACCATAGTCATACCCCATCACAGCTTCTCTCATTCCTTCTTCGTACTTCTCTATACCCCTTTCATGAACCTTCTCTATTTTTCGGCCCAACCGCCTCCATTGAAGACCTCTAATCCAACTATCATCAAAGTCCTAGGAGGAGTACTTAATGGTGGATGCTTTCCTCTGTATGTTCCTCAAGTTTGATTTTTTTCCCTTTCAATCCGACCTCAAAATCTCTAGTTAACTCTTAGTTAGGATTTGCAAATTAAGCCGCAATTGGTGTTGTGTAATGTGGAGACCCGATCCATCGCAATTTAATTAGCTTCATAATTAAGAATCTCACCTACCGTTAACCTACCTTCCCACCTACATAAGAATCTCACATACTGCTAATCTGTCTTCCCACCTCCCGCCCACCTACCACATCACCTACCACATCCGCCCACCTACCACATCCCACCTACCTCTCACCTACCTCTCACCTACCGCTCTCCTGGTTTCTATAAATAGTTTCTTATGGCTTGTCATAAGCCAAGCAAGATCCAAGTCAAGCCCTCTAAAAGAGAAAGAGAGGAAGAGAGAAATTTTCTTGTAAACGTCGCGGCGCTCGACGGTGTAATTCCTCGAAGAAATAAAATCCTCTGCAGCTCTGTGAAAGTAGTCAAATTTTTCGAACCACGTAAACCTGTGTGCCGCTCTGGCATTTTATCTGCATGCAATTTTTCACGTTCCATTTTTCGTTTTATTGTCATCGTTTTTCACCACAACTGGTATCAGAGCATTTGGTTCGGATATAAGAAAGAACGATAGACAGAGACAAAGTGATAACATCAGGGATAGAGAAGTTCAATAGCACAGATTTTGTTTACTAGAGGATGCAGATAGATGACTACCTCTATGAGAAGAAACTTCATCTTCCGTTACTAGGAAAACGACTAAAAAAGATGGACGATGCGGAATGAAATCTATTGGATAAACAGGTTATGGGGGTTATACAATTAACCCTGCCGAGATCGGTTGCCCACAACATCATCAAAGAGAAGACTACTGCAGATTTTATGGTGGTTTTATCAGGTATGTATGAAAAGTCATCAGTGATTAACAAGGTGCACCTAATGAAAAGGTTGTTCAACTTGAAGATGGAGGAAGGTGTGTTTGTTAACACCTAAATGATTTCAATACTATCACAAATCAATTGTCGTCTGTTGAAATTGATTTTGATGATGAGATATATGCGCTGATATTGTTGGTTTCATTGTCAAATAGGTAGGAAGTCATGAAGATGACAGTTAACAATTCTGCAGGTAAATCCTCTAAGCTGAAATATGATGATATTTGTGATTTGATTTTGGCTGAGGAGGTGCGCAGGAAAGATTTTGGCGAGACGTCGTGTTCAAGTTCGGCGTTGAATGTTGATTCCAAAGGGAGATCACATGACAAAAACTCAAACTGAAGAAGATCAACATCAAATTTTGGTCAGCAGACAATTTACTGGAATTGTGGCAAGGCTGATCACATAAAAAGGAACTGCAGGAATCATGAGAAGAAGAATAATGGCTCTAATGTTGTAACGGAAGAAATATAGGATGCGCTATTGCTGACAGTTCACAGTTCTGTTGATGACTGGATACTAGATTCAGGGGCTTCCTTTCACACATCTTCCCGCCAGGAGTTAATGCAAAATTATGTTGCAGGTAACTTTGGGAAAGTATATCTGGCTGATGGAGAAGCTCTGAATGTGGTAGAGATGTGAGACGTTGATATTGCACTCCCTAACAAGAGCAAATGAACTTTGCAAAAGGTCAGACACGTTCCTGAGTTGAAGAAAAAACTCATCTCTGTTGGACAGCTCAATGGGGGTGGTCTTTCGACGGTGTTCTCAAATAGCACCTAGAAGGTTACCAAAGGAGCATTAGTACTGACTTGGGGTAAAAAAACTGACACACTATATATGACTACATGTTAGCTCAGGCGAGGACACATGAGTCAGAGGTGCATTATGGGGAAACAGAAGAATGTCAGTTTCATGAAAAGTAGTCGAGCGCCAAAGGCAGGAAAACCAGATCTTGTACAGACAAATGGTGGGGAACCCCGGAGTTATGAAGAAAACTTGCAAGATGAGAATTCAAGCAAGTGGGAGCTGACCTAGAAGAAGCAGACAGATTCCCTGCCAGGAAAACCGACTTGGAAGTTGACAGAACTTTCATCACGGAAGAAGACATTGCACAACAAATGGATGTACCGGGTGAAAACCGTATTTAGTGGCAGTAAGAGGTACAAAGTTGGACTTGTTGAAAAGGGCTTTCAGCAGAAGCAGGATATTACTCATGCAATGGGAGTTGTAAGCAGATACAAGAGTAACCCAGGAAAGAGCTTGGTGGTTCAAGGCTACGTTGACGGTGATATGTCAAATGAGGGTGATACTCGCGAGAAGCTGAAGTTCTGTTCGACTACAGCTGGTCTTCTGACATGAAAACAGGAGCTTTGAGTTGCAAAGGTGGAGGATATCATGCTTGAGAAAAAAGTTAATACAGCTAGTAGATGATGCAGCCAGTAGATGATGCAGCCAGTAGATGATGTAGTCAGTGTCTCAGTCTTTAAGTGAAAGAATTGTTGGGTAATGTGAAGACCCGGTCCATCGCAATTTAATTAGCTTCCTAATTAAGAATCTCACCCACCGCTCACCTACCTCCCACCTACCGCTCTCCTAATTTCTATAAATAGTTTCTTATGAGCCAAACAATGACCAAGCCAAGTCCTCTAAGAGAGAAAGAGGGAAGAGAGAGAGAAAGGGAGAGAAGAAAATAAAGATTTTCTTATAAACGTCGAGGCACTCGACGGTATAATTCTTCGAAGAAATAAAATCTTTTTGCAGCTTCATAGACGTAGAAAAATTTGGCGAACCACGTAAATCGGTGTGTCGCTCTAGTGTTTCTGCGTACAATTTTTATCGTTCCATTTTTCGCTTTATTGTCATCGTTTTAACAACAATTGGGTCTTGAATTGCATATCAATAAGTTTTCTTATCATCTCCTCCAAGCCCCCGAATTGATTTTTCATGAAAGAAAACCTACCATCTATGGAGGAAAACATTCCTTCTATGGTGGAGACCCCTTCATCTTGTATTTAAGTTGGTTGAGCTTTCCTTCAATTTCTTCTTCAAATCATTTACTTTCTTTTTTGTCATCATTCCTTGAAAATTTTTCGATAAAAAAGAATGTAGTCGATGATTTCAAGATAGTCTAATCGCGTTTGTACAGTGAGTCAGTCTAATTTGCTTTTACTGCACGACGAAATTGGAACATATGAAAGATGAGAGCTTTTGGTCTCGGTATAGCGTGTAAGATGAAAGTCTCAAGCCTCTGTACGTTGCGTCGTTGCCTTCTCATCTTGCGTCCATGAAGCAAGAGGAGAAAGATCAGCGTTTCAGGTCTATGTAAGTCGCAATCCCATCATTGCCTTCTCTGCTAGTTCTCTCTATCATGATGGAGGCAAAATATAGGAGATTCAAACCTCTGCACGAGCCTGTAATTGCTTCCCAGGCTCGATCGCGACTCTATCGCACAGAAGGACGTGAGAGGAGAAAGATGGGAGATTCAGGTTTCTGTTGCAAACCTGATCAATTATTTTCCGGCCACAATTCTTTCTTCTCTCTGGATCGAAATGCTTTGATAGCAATTTGATAGGATCCAAAATAGAAATGACATGAATTTCCACAAAAGTTAGGGCAAGTATTTACCTTTAATAATCCAAATAATTCAACACGAATACAAAAATAAACACCGACAATTTAAGAGGTTAACGATCTCTCCCAAATTCCTACAATTCGAGAGGTAAGAAATCTCCCACAAATCCTAAACCTATGACTCAGCACAATAATCTCATGCATAACCCTAACCCTTAAATATTAAGCTATATTTATAACCAAAAATAATAATAATAAAAGACCAATTTTCACTTATGCTAACAAAAAATAAACTTGTCCTCATGCCAATGCATAACAAAAAGCCATGTCAGTGCAATAACCAAACGGTTCAATAATCCCGCAGGATGGATTTTAGAGATGAAAAATCACAAAAAGAACTAAAGCATGTAAGAGCTACCTGAACACACACAGCAATGATGTCGGCAAAGCGAGAGAGTGATTTTGCAGGATATATTCCATTGAGTGAAGGATCAACCATTTTCGCCAAAGCATCGATATCATGAAGTTGAGGCATAGCCCATCTTACCAGAGACTGTTCTGATCTAACTCGAGAACTGAAAGATCGAACATAATACAAAAATCAAACAAAGATCGAAAAAGGTCAAAATGAATTAGAAAAGTCCAAAGCAAAGGTGGACTCATTAACATACCCGTCCAGCGGTTTTCGACCTGTTAATAGCTCTAACATCATCACACCAAAGCTATAAACATCACTCTTTATCGTGTAAATTCCGGACATTACAAATTCCGGTGCGCTGTAACCAAACGAGGGCATCATCTCAGTCGAAAGCTGCAAATTGTATAAAAAATAGTTCTTTTAGATCATCAAAATTTTCTAAAAGAGCATTTACATACGTACCCCAATTCTTATGCATTTACATCTCTAACACCTAAACTTTATATTTACATGAATACCACTAAAATCTTTAACATTGCATCTAAATTACCACCATCACTACCTTTTTAAAAGTGAAATACATGTTTTTAGGCATGGGTTTATGACACCAACGTGCTGCAAGTGTAAAAATCAAACTTCGGGTTTTGGATATATAAATATATAAGAATAGTGTGGTGTGTATGTTATATTTCTCATTTCTAAAATCAATATGCACGACAAATAAATAAATGTGAGCACTCGTATTTAGCAGTTTAGCATGGCTGGTGTAGAGATATGCCTGTCTTTCAGTATTGTGAGTTAATGCAGATAGTCCACAGTCTGATAAGTGTGGATTGAGATCCTCATCCAATAAGATGTTTGCAGATTTCAAGCTCTTATGTAGAACAGACGGCGAGCATACTTCATGTAGGTACCTGTGAAGTTTTTTTAGATATCTATGGTAAATAATGCATGGCATGAAGATCAAATTGTAAAAGCCAAATTTGTTTCACTTAAGTGCCTGAAATTGATAGGATCATAAATTTGATGAGTGAGTTGGCAAATGTCTGGTTGAAAATAAATGGAAATAAGATCTCATTTTAGGAACTCCTCATAGAAAAGTAATTAGTGAGTTTCAATCAGGAGAGCCAAAGAATAATTTTCAGTCTTTTCTTTAATTTTAATAAAAATAAAATTATGGTAAATTAATGGGATGTGAATTCAAGTATTATTTTTTACTTATGATAGTAATAAAATAATATTAAATTAATGAAAAGATGAATTAAAGTTATTTTTACATATAAAAATTTAGTGGAAATTAATTTAAATGTGGGTAGTAAAATGAAACCCATCAAACCCCAAACAAACACAAAGTGTGGGCATCAATTTGGCTTAATGTGTCAAGTTTGGGTCCAACCAAAAAATGCCTCAGACTCAAATATAGCAAATCTGATTTCAACTTAACAAAATGCGAACTTGACTCAACTAAATTTGAACCCAACAAGACACGACATAAATAATACCTAAGCCGTCTAGGGCTAGTGTCAAACCAACCATAAATGAAAATGATTATTTAAACTGAAAAATACAACTTCAAAAAAGAAAACAAAAGTTACACTTTCCAACGAAGTTTTTTAATAAAGACGAAAAAATAGTAGAATCAAATGGATTAAGACATTTATTTTAAGAAAATCCAACCCAATCGTGACCTGATTCACACACGGCTTGATCCAAATCTACAAATTTTCATGTCACATGAGAGGATGATTTTTTTTTGTCTGGTCAAATACTGACACCCCAAAAAGTAAGTTTACCTGAAGCCATTCATGCAAAACAGAAACTATCACTTCAACCCACTTAGCTAACCTCCATAACAGAGATTCAACATTTCCAAACACATAGTGACACAAATTGGTCTTTAGCGTTCAAGATACTGTAAATACAATAAACTTACTCGAGAGCTCTGGCAGTGCCAAGCGCAACTTTTACGCGAGCATTCCAACTAAGTGTTCTGCTATCATCAGTAAAATGCAGCCTGTCATGCAATGCTCCATTTGAAATGTGCTCATAAACCAAAAGGTGTTGACCATGTTCGGCACAATATCCTACTAGAGCTGTAATGTTGGGGTGTCTCAGATGCGATATGTTTGAAACAGCCTCGAGAAATTCTTCTTCATCTCGCAAGAACAATGCTGCACTATCTAGCTTCTTGACAGCCAAAATCTAGGCAAAATAAAATGTTTAAGAAAGTTTAAAAAGTTTATCTCGCTAGTGCTTTGAAAGACTGCTTGTCCTGTAAGTTTAGGACCCATCATATTTGACACTTAATAAACCCAAAAAGTTGAAATGAAAAATCAAATTACGCCTGATACATTTAATATAACGCAACATTGAAAATTTAAAGGCGAAGGATATGACACATTCGACTCAAATTCCATTTTTGTTGCAATCACTGTGCAGCAAAAGTAGGAATCTTGAATTATTTCATAAAATTTAACAAACGAGAATAAATGAGTAGTCTTAGGGATCATAGACATAGATAACAAACTTATCCATTAAGACATAGCATTGTTAATTTCTCCCTTTAAGTGTCTGATAGCAGAGTATTTAGAGTAATTTCAGGTGAAATGGAACATAACAGACATTTAATTGTCATATTTAGTTTTTTTTTTTTATTCTTAATGCTTCAAAATACAGGGCAAGACCGTCAAAAAGTTTGTTTTGCTGCCTAATTATGAAAACTAAGCTTGAAGATTAGAATTCTAATTTTAAATGTAATAAAATTGAAGAATCCTATTCAGATGACGCTATAAAGAACTCTTAAAAACAACTGATTCTGCTGCTTCAATTATGATTTTGATCGTTCAAGTGAGAGAGTCTTATTAGGTCAGGCCATTGCTTCTCAATTAAAGAATGAAAAGTAAATTCATCGAGATAAAGCTTTTTTGTGTCAAAATAGTCCTCCGACTCTCTATGGGAGTTTATTTTAATCCCAAAATCTATAAAAGTGTCAATTTAGTTCTAATTATTTTAATATAAACTGAAATTAGTCCCAACGGATGACAATTTAAGCCCCAATTTAAAGAGGGAGGACTAATTTGGCACTTTATAGACTCTAGGACTAAGATGATCCCTTGTAACTAGTCAGAGGATTATTTTGACACTTACTCGATAAGATAATTTGATTTGAAAGCATGCGACCAATTAAGAACCACATTTTGATTAACTAAACCGAAAATAAAGACAAATGAAACTTTCAGTACCTTCAAATTGGAAAATTCCGCCCTATAAACACGACCAAGGGAACCTTCGCCAATAAGGTATTCCTGGCTAAAGCTATTTGTTGCAGTCTGAAGAGAAGCAACACTATAATAAGCTGCAGTGATAGGTACTCTTGGTATCCGCGCAGATCCACTTTTCCCACTTAGCTTATCGCCCGTCATTTTATTAGAAGGTGGTGACTTCAATTGAGTTGAAAAGGGAGAGCTTCTGAGTTTATGATCTCCAATCCCTTTGTTCACTTTAGTAGTAATATGCATTTAGTGAAGAACAGTTAGCCGTTGGAAACATTCAATTTTATTACTCTACATCAAAATATAAGAAAATAAAATGCAATTTAGATTTTTAAAAAACGGCTCATTTAGTTGATAGATGAAAAGCACATTGTGGATGTTGATTTTACTTTTCACTCATTTTAAATGCTAAAACTAAATCATTTGGGTATTTGTAAGTTTAAAATCAAAGATGATTTCTAACCTTTCTCTAAACTTGCACTTTGAAGGTCAATGGCAATACCATTCAACCCATTGGTTGGTGGACTTCTAATTATGTTAAAAAAATGATGTATCTAATCACTATATTTCAATGCCGTTTTAAACTTCAACCAAACTTTGAAAATGAAGTTTGTGAAAATCAAATATCTTAATACATATTTGGACAAAAATTTCCAACATCAAATCATCAAGTGCCAGATATGGAGAAAGTCTGCTCCTCTAGTTGACGAAGCAGTGGCACAAACAAGAAAGCAATGGGCAGATGTTGACCGTTGAAGAAACAAAGGTCTTATGGTAGTGCCATCTGCACCACAAGAGGATTTCAACGCGACAACAATTTGTTACTAAAAGGGCTAGAAATGATGAAATGAGGGGAAAAAAAAAACCAATGGTAACTGTTGGCTATAAATAAAATAGTTTGAAGCAAGCCAATACTAAAATCACTCATTTGAAAAAAAATACGGTATAGCTGACTTATTTAACTTGCATTGTACTTATTCCTTACAATTAGTTTTAAACCGATTTTTTAATATGCTCCTCTTTGAATGACTGTGATCTTAAAAGCAGCAGTCAAGAGTTCAGGTCTTGCAAAATTAAACTGATACACCCTCAGTGATACAAAAAGAAAAACAGGCAAAAGAAAAAAAAAAAAACTTACTAAAATACACACATGAACAAGTTCTGACAATCAAAATTTGAAATAATCTCTTTTTACCTTTCCATAAGATATATTGATACCGTTCTAAGGAGCCTAGAATGTATGAGAAAATACAAAAAAAAAAAAAATGCATTAGGAAAGCTGCAGGTTGGGTCTTAGGAGCGGGCGAATGGATTCCGGCTTAAAAGGCAAGAGGACAGCAAGCTGGAAGCGGAAAACTTCTGTTTTTCTACTGATCGATAAGAGATTATACTTAAGCAAAGGTGCTTGTAGCACGAATTCCAGAGTGAGACTGGCTGTTAGTACAACCGACCCTTGACCCGCAACAGAATTACAGGAGTCATTGATAATTTTAACAATGTCTCGCCCGGAACACGGAGAACATGTCGAGAATAATTGAGAGCACCCCAGTCATGTGATCTGTAGCACCTAAATCAATAATAAATGAACTAAAAAAAAAAAAATAATGAGTGTCATAGAAAAGTTACTTTGACGAACATGGAAGGTCGAGGAGCTAGAGGAGAACTGACTAGATCCAAGCACCTCAATTAAGTGTTCCATCTGACTCTTGATGAAGTCTGGTGATTTAAAGATGGTTCAAGTGGGGGCCGACTAAACTTATTGTGGATTATGAAGTTGTAGCGAGACCTTTAGCAGCGGAATATTTGATTGAAGATTTATTTCCTGACTTCCCAGGGAGCTTCCAACACTTGTTACGGGTATCTAACGGTTTGGACAAAAATCACATTTGAAGTGATTAGTGCGCGAAGGCGTAGCAGAACATGGAGCATCATTGGAGACCAAGCCTAAAGTCTCGGTTGAATTAGTAGAGTTGTCGAGCATAACTAGTCTCTGGCTTTCTTCGCAGCGGACCTCGGGGAATGTTGCTCAGGCTTAAAGAAGAGGATCACAACCAAGTATCGGTCGTGGACTTCATCGAGATCCTTGTTCGAGCCGACCAGAAATTGGAAAATGCAATCCTTTTCCAAAACTTTTTGGAAGAGGAAAAGATCCGTGAGAGAATCTCACGTGTAATCATAGTAGAAGTCACATTCCATCTATAAGACAACCAAGTCATTATAGTATTGTGTCACTGCCTTCAATCCTTGTTTTGCCTCGTGAATCATATTAGAAACTTCATAGAGTTGTCTAGAATTCCCTAGTCCAAGTAGGTATCTCGAACGACAGCCTGGAGGCACTAACAGACGAAAGAAACAGATACAAACAAACAATAGAGGTCTCTATGGAATTAGTCAGCCATAACATAACCATGGAGTTCTCCACGGACTTCTCCACTTCCCATACTACATATGCTAGGTCAGTCTTTGGAGGTTCACGAATCGCACCCGTGAGGCGGCCGAATTTACCTCGACCTTTGACGAACAACAAAATAGATTATGACCATTGAAGGAAAGTCGAGTCATTAAGTTTGTGAGTTGTAATCAAGAAATTTATGGGGTTGTCATGTCCTTTGGTCTACGGAGGGATTGAGGTAGGCGTCGATCCTCCAGTGGACTCAAGGCGAATGTCAGATAAAAGTTCGATAGTGGAGGAATCTGCCATGACTTTGACAGAGCCAAAGGTGAGGTTGGTGTGAGACATAAACGTAGACATACAGGGGAAGATTCTAGCTGGCAGGAGGAAGGTCCAGCCGATAGGAGGGCCTGCAGGAGAGAGATATGGCTATAGAAGGAAGTTTCGACGGTCCTGGAAAGAGATCTGGCTGGCAGAAAGGAGGAGGTAGTCGGACAACCAAATGAGGAGAGAGTAGCGACAGGAGAGCCTACAGGAATGGGTACTGGCAGTTGAAACCTGCAGGGGAGAGACCGGCAGGGGTAGAGCCTGTAGGGAAGGAATCCAGCAGATGAAAAACTATAGGGGAATGCCTGTTGGAAAGTTTTGGCAGTTAAGTTAATGTCCTGGTGGCTATGGTAAGATGTGTGGCTCTAATACCATGTAAATTTTGGGGATTAAGTTGGACAATATTATTGCTATTGAGAGGGGAATAAATACAGGATACAATAGTTCTAACATAGAAAAAATATAATACCTAAATCTTTACCCAATAATTACTCAATCATAAATGAAAGTCATGAACTAGGAAATACAACAAATAGGAAATAACCAGAAAGTAAACTAAATAATTTCTAACAAATAATCATAGTCCATTTGCAGAAGTTGACGACCCGACATCCGCAAAAATTAGTGGTGGGCTCCAGGATTGGGCTTATCAACTTAATCCCTCTGTTACTGCCATAGTTCCCTTAAAAATTTTCACAAAATTTACTTTGCACCTCAGAACTTTTCAATCCAAGCTCAACATAATTTGGGACACAAACTCTAACATGGTTTAAGAGCATTCCCAATACCTAATGTTTTAAACAAACAAAGGTTCATGTATCCAACGAGAAGCATTCAAACAAGGGTATGGGATGATGCAAAAGCACCTACAGGATTATGGGATCACAAATTTTGCGATTCCGAATTGCAAGGGATCTGCTATCCCAAACAGTGGGATTCGACAGGTATGAGCCGCCCAACTTTTTGTATTTACCTATTTTTATTTTCTTTTTTCTCGTCATCTTTTTCTAATTTATTTCCTATTCGTTATTTTTAGGGTTATTTATTTCAAGAGTTTGTTTATGTCTTGTTTGGGTGGGCCATTTTGAGACTTACACACTTTTTTTTTTTTTGGTATTGAGAAATTGTATTACTTATTTATGATCTAAGGATTGTTATTTCCATTTTTTTTGCAGATGGTGTGCAATAAGCAAGATACATGCACAGTGTGTGCATGTAGCTTGCCTAGGAACGAGTGGTGGAATCTACTTACTACCCATATGTATCTCGCCAATTCCCCATCCAAGCCGCTTTTTTAGCTAGGACAATCATCAAACGTCGTTTCTCTTTCTCCAAACATCATTGATCGCCCATATTATCATCCCCTTGCTATTCCACAACTATCTCCCAGCTATACCCGCTTCCCAAACACCTTCTAGGATCCCTAGAACGGTATCATGGGTTGACATATTCTTACTAGCACACAAGGTAATACCCCCTGCTTAAATCATAAACCCAAATCCAAATCCATATTGTGAATTATGACATTGAGAGTGCATAAAACAAATGTACATAATGAAATTGCAATAAAAAGTTTCTAAAAATACCTCCCTATACGCCAAATATCACAACCATTATTAGAAATCTTTTGCATTGCTAAAATATCCATTTTTGGGTGATTAAAACTTTAGATACATCTCTCTCTCACCCTCTCACCCTCTCACCCTCTCACCCTCTCACCCCCTCACTCATTTTTTTGGGTCATTTCAAAGGCCGTTGATCATAAAAAGAATGTAGAATCTGAGTTTTAAACTGGCATTGCAATTTCAGGAGTTGTACCAAATAAAAGTGAAAAGAATAATCAAAGAATTAAATTAAAGGGTACCATAGCCGAAAGAAGATGTGCAAATAAGAATCAAAGTAGAGGGTGCATACCAAGATATTGTTGAGCAGAACTTGTTTGTACATTTGAAGAGACGGGCTCTTTGGTTCGAAAATTCCACTCTGTTGGTACATGTGAAGAAATATAATCTGAAAATTGATTCCATTCTCCTGGAGAGAAACACCAACAGTTTAAAGAAACGGATCCAAACCTTTTCAGTTAAAAACTTAAGAAGACTGGTGTCTATCATTATGCATGTTTTATTTTAAAAAAATTTTAAGTTATCTAATGAAATAGCAACATCGAATGAGTTCAAGTCCATAAGCCTCAGATAGAAACTTTAAGGGAAATTTACATACATACCAGTCAATTTTTACACATTTACATATCTATTACACATTTACATATCTAATACCTAAAGTTTGATATTTACATTTATAACACCTTGGTATTAAAAGCCTGCGAATGAAAATGTTCACTTTTAAAAAATTAGTGATAGTAGGTTTTTTTATGTGATGTCAAAGATTTGAGTGTTATGTACGTAAATATGAAAGTTTATGCGTTAGATATGTAAATATATAAGACTTTTTTGGTATGCATGTAGATGTCCCAAACTTTAAATGCTAAAATGCCAAATTCTTCTTACAACATTCGTCTTTCTTTAAAATAGTGCAAATAATTTGTAATATAGCACACCATGCAAGTGTCGAGAAGTCTAATCCCCAGCCTCACAATCATATTTCATCACATATTCTCCAAATAAGTTTATTTTTGGGGGTTTTGTTTGGCAACAGAATTTAAAAAATTGAGTGGAATATGATAGAATCTCCAAATACCGTACCTTCTGAAAAATTTATAGCAATTAGGAAAAAAAAAGGAATCTAGATGAGGGAAAATTATCTTACTATATCAGCATGAATTTTCATAAAAATTATCAAAAACTGTACGATTACAAATTATCCCCATCATTGTCATCACCATTAGCCTCATCCCCCTATTATAGGTAAGCTTTACGAATTCTACCTCTTAATTTATTTCTACCAAGTTAAAAACTTTGTTCAAATAATTTTAAAAACGAAAATTTTTTTTCATCCAGGTAATATTCAACACAAGACTTTCCATTATTAGACAAGAAACTACACATACATATACAAATGAAAGAAAACTGTACCTTTATGTGCGCCAACAGGAGGAGATCCCACAAAGTGCCTCAATTTATTTTGGTTCTGATTATCCTTCTTAGACTTGTAAAGGAAGAAAAGTGTAGCAAGCACCGCACATGACGCGAAGGCAACTGAGCCAGCAACAATGCCAGTTAAAGCACCTGCAGCCAGACTTCTAGTGTTGCTGCTACTGCTGTTGATAGTGCTCGTGTTCTGCCTATCGGCACCATTTGGTGGATTTGCTGGTGCTTCGCTGTGATTATGATGATTAGTATGCGGTAAATGGGGAGGTGGTGGGGTATAAGGAGGTGGCGGAGGAGCAGGAACATTCTCAAAGGAGTTTCCATCAATTCTGCAAAAAACAAAAAATATACAAATATATTACAAATGAAGAAAATTAAATTGGACATAGAAAAGAAGAAATGTGGTTGAACAATTACCTGAGGTTTGGAATAGAATGGAAGCTCTGGGGAATCCATCCAGTGAAGTGATTATTTGCAATGTCTCTATTTTAAAAGAAAATGCAAATGGATAAACATATATATACTAAAGGAGAAAATTGTTAAAATAGTCCCCGACTCTTTGTAGGGAGTCATTTTAGTCTCAGATTTTATAAAAATGCGTATTTAATTCCCAAAATCCTTTACTATGGGCCGAAATGGTCCTTACGAAGGACTATTTCTGCCCCAATTTAAAAAGTTCAGGACTAATTTGACAACTTTTATAGACTCTAGCACTAAAATGGTCTCATGGAAATAGCCAGGAGACTAATTTAACACTTTACTCTATATTAAAAGCTAGAGAAACAAAATGAGTGAAGAAATAAGTTTGACTTACAAATTAATTAAATCAAGGTTGGAAAGAACATTTACTGAACCCGCAAGCTGATTATTTTGCAAATAACTGAAAAAAGTAGTTAAGGGAAAGGAAAATGCGTGTATAGAGAAACACATTAATAATCATGTAGTTCACTTACAGATTAGAAAGGTTTGACAACAAACCCAAAGAAATTGGAAGATCTCCGCTTAGGATATTGAAAGATAGGTCTCTGTCATGACCGTGCCAATAAAGGTACATGTGTAGATGGGAAGATAATAAGTTTCATAGGAAAACAGTGAAATCTGAAATACAATATTAGCCAACCGAAATACATTTTAAGGGAAATGAAAGCAAAATAGAAACAGCAAATATTAATCAAAATCAGGAGTTTAGTTTTTGTAAGTATTCACATCTGTTAAATAATCATTTGCATGAAATAATGTGGCCATAACATTCAAAAATGCATCACGGTACTGCCCTTGCAGACGAAAAAAATATGACATGCATGGTTACTGCCTTTGTAAACGAAAAAAATATGACATGCATCAGATGAAAAGCAAAATGTCAATATTGCAAGGGCATTTTTAACATGGAAAGTTAATTATTCAAGCCAAGAGATAATAATATAATTCATGAAGTGCAACATATGTGAGCAACACAAACAATTGTAATCGGCAGAACCAAACCAACGCTAAAATACTAAAGCAATTATATAAGCTTATGTGATATGCCACAATTCTTATTCTGTTATACTTATTAGCCATAAAACCACTATCAGTGGTCCCAACACAAGCTTCACGCCCACTGCCGGAGGCAGTTAGACATAACATCACCTTATGCCTTTATATTTTGACTTTACTATGTAATTATAGAGCATAGAATACCTCCCTCCCTCAAGTTTCTTGCATCTCAGCTCAAACAATTCTCTCATAGCCCACTAATTCCCGAAACATACCATGTGCGGCGAGCTCACATTCTCAAACTTTTTTCGGCAAACAGATTTGAAGGGTTTCTCAGCGGCATAAACAGGTGCCCTCCCCGTTTCCAGAACAATACATCAACCAGCATAGAAAATCCTCAATTCAACATGTGGAACCTTATTGATCAATATCTTGTGGCATCTCTATATTCCACAATCTCGCCAATAGTTATTCCGCACATCCTACACCTTCAAACCACAACGGAAATTTGGGCAACCTTGGAATGTCGATTGCAACCAACAATCAATCACATGTAATTCAGTTGAAAAAAGAACTCCATAACATCTCGATGAAGGATCGTACCATGTCGCAATACCTAATGGAAATGAGATCACTATTTGATCACAAAACCATTGCATTTTCCCAGCTGGGTGCAGAAGATGTTGTTCTATACATACTCAATTGATTGCCACCATCCTACAATGCGTTCAAGACTGCCATTCGACCATCCCTTCAACCGATCACTCTTGATGATCTCTACTCACTTCTATGTAGTGAAGAAATAAATATCAACAATGGCAATGCTAAGCATGTGGTACAAGCCGAGCCAGCAATAGCTCTTACGGCATATTGGGGCCTTCACATCCCCGAATCAAGAGGCCGAGGAAGAGATTATCAATCAAACCCAAGGGGAGGTCCTTTTCGGAGAGCAACAGGGGGAAGATATGCTCCTAAGTCTAAAATTACTTGTCAAAAATACTATAAAAATGGAGCACTCGGCTTCCACTTGTTGGCACAGGGCGAAACTTGACTATACTCCTGCCACCCCAGCTCAAGCTCTCAACGCTACTTCCAAGGATTGGGTATTGGACTCCAGTGCAACTGTCCACTTCACCACTGATCTCAAACAAATTACGCAAGCCACTCAATATACTGGACCTGAGCAAGTCATGGTAGGGAACGGTCAAGTTGTTCAAATTCCTCACAAGGCGAAAGTATTCTTCCAACTCAACAACTAAGCTCAAACTCTCACAAATTCATCACACCACATCACTCTCTCATAATCTCTTATCTACTCATAAACTAACCAAAGACAACAATGTTATTGTCTCATTTGACCGCACAATAAGGTGAACACAAACACATTATTCATGAACAATTTCAAACACATGTTGAACACACAACAACAAGCCTTTGTCCCACTAAGTATGGTCGGCTACATGAATTCTTTTTCTCCATGCCCAAATCTTTTTTATACAACTAGCCGAATACAGACACACTAATTTTCAAATGAGCCAAATATGAAAAAGTTATTAATTTCTCAAGCTCAGCTTGTTACACCCCGAGTAAAATACTTTTTTTGTACCATAAATGAATTTTTTTTTGCCTCCCACTTTATCTTGGTATTAAGTGGGAAGAATAAATTACACTTCCAAAAAAAAATTTAAATTGATATCTCAAAGTCCTTTCAAAATAAGCACAATAACATAGTACGTGAGTTAGCATGATGCCCAATGAGATTTTAATATGATAATCCAGAATGATATGAGCTAAAATACTCGGAAAAGTATATGTATCTCCTAATATTATATTCCTTAAGTGAGTAAGAACATATTATGTGTTGTGAAATAATAGATCAAAGTTAAAACTATTAAAGAAAAGCTAAAACAAAATCATATTGTTCTAGAAGTAGGTAGCCACGATGTGAACATTGATGGTGGAGGACACATCCATCCTAAAGTAATTTCGAAAGTGTAATACACAATAAAAATTAGAAATAAGAAAAGCAATTTTAAATTATTTAGCATCATGAATCCTTTGAAGACACCGAAACTCAGAAGAAGTAGAGTTTCATCATCTTGAAGTCCAAAAAGTTGAGGGCATAAAGATATCTATAAATTTAAATAGAATGCCGGAGAAGTTTCTTAACAGTTCAGACATCTTACAAGTCAGAGAGATTTTGAAGAAGGGCAAACAAATCCCCAATTGATTGTGACAACAAATTATGGCTAACATTCCTGCACAATACATTCTGAAAGATAATTTCATGCCAAAGCTACCAGACTATAAACAAAACAAAAAAATTAGAAAAGCAAACCAAAACCTTACAAGTAAACAAGGGAAACCAAGCTAGATATTGAGTATGGAAGATTTCCATTAAATTTGTTATCAGCAAGATTCCTGCAACATTCAATCAAAAGTATCTTATTACCATGAATTATCAAAATTAAGTATCAAACTAAACCAGAAATTTACAAAACATACAAATAAGAAATATTTGGAGGTAGCTGAAAAGGGATATTTTCACTTATGTAATTGTTGCTCACATCCCTAACAGGAAAACAATAATCAAAGGTAAGAAACCAAAAATTCACAATATAAAGAGCCAAATGTCTATATCCCCTAGCAAAAAAACAACAGTTCCCTCACAGTTTCTTCAATGACAGGAGATTAGAAAGAAGATATCCAAGAGTACCATTAAGTCCCAAACCTGCAAGTTCGCTGCCGCAATATAATAAGGGTTTAAACATGATCCATCTTAGAAGAAGAAAGGAAATCAAACAAAAAAGAGCAAAAATCCAATTAATTGAAAAATGTATACATGGAAACAACATCTGAACCGGAGCAGGAGATCCCTTTCCACGATTCTTCACAGGGATCACCTCCGCTTGACTTCCATCCAGAAAGCTGAGAAGGGCTGTTCAAAGTGCTATAAAGCAACACTAGAACTTCAACTGCAAACAGTAAATTGATAAATTGCTCAGAAGCTGCCATATTGCAGAAAACAAGTTAGCCCTTTGAACAACCTGCACAATATCTAAAACCTGACAGAAGATCATCATGGAAAGCGATGCATGCATTGAGGAAGTTCAAAAAAATCCGATCTTTGAGAAACCGAATCAAATAGAAATAAAAATAAATTACCATCTAAAGGGTTCGTGGTAGATTGGACACAGTTGGCTGACAAAAGAAGAAAAACAGAGATCAACAACATTGCAGTTTCCATATGGAAAACTCTGCTCTCTCCCCTTGTTTCACTTCTCTCTGGCCATGAAATTTACAGTGTCGGCAGTAGCAAAGAAAAACAGCAAGAGTGGTGAGCCAGCGAGAGACACGGGAGTAGAGGAGAGAAATTAATAGAAAGTTCTGTGCACTGTTAGCTTTAGCAAAGATTCGATGGCTAAAGGCGAACTTTTTAGTATTAAATGGAAGGGCTTTGGCGCTTTGCCCCAATCCGGAGGTTTAGAATTTGATACTTGAATTAAGTGTATTTATGCATGAATGCATGTGATATTAGTTAAAATAAAATTAAATTTTTCAAGAGTTTTTATTCAAAATATTAAAAAAAAAATTGTATTTGCAATTGGATAATTAATTTTACAAAATATTTAAAAAAACAAGCAAAATAGAGTAGAGATAGACCTCGAACTCACCAAAAAAAGCTCATTTCAGTGCTCATCTCTCCATAAAATCGAGATAATTACATACAAAACATAAAAATAACTGTTTTCATTAAACTTGAAATCAACATAGTACTATTCCTATAAATATACTTAATCACCTTGTAAGCAATGTATACAATTAATACGGCATTTAATTCTCACCTGACAAGTAGCCCAATATTATTGTCAGAGTGAATAAATTCAGAATCCTTAAAAACTATATAAAAAAACTAAAAAAAGAAAAATACTTTTCTACATTCAAAAAATATAACATAATTATTTAATTTATTAGTATGTATTATGTATACCATAATCAATATAATTTTATGGAGAATAATAAATATTTTATTGGATAATTTAGTCACATTTTTTTTAATTAAGCAGGTCATATTTTTTTGCTCATATTATTAGGGTTTATAGCCTCTAAATTTTGTATTGACTCGCTGTGAACCTTCTATGATGGGGCCCTCAATTAATATAGGCTTTTAAAAATAAATGAGTGTCATTGAAATACCAGTTTGATATTATTTATTCGTGAAAAAAAAATAATCCCGAACTTTTTTTTTTTTATGAAAGAACTTATTTTTGCATATATTTTAATATTACGCAAGTAAACTTTAAAAATAAAAAATATATATTTATTCTTAATTTTATTTAAAAGATCTATTTATCTTAGTTTTATTTTGCTAAGAAAATTTTTAAAATATGTATTCTAGTTTTTTGGGCCAAATTTTTAAAATAGGTATTGTGTTTGTTTAGCTTTTTAAATAAGCTAATTGTTACCTAAAAGTTTAAATTTTAATACTGGCTATCCACATAGATAGTCAGTGGCCTGTCAAACAGGAGACTTGTCCCAGGTAATGTGGATAGTCAATCACCCCTTAAGCAAAAATCTTGCTGCTTATAATTCCCTCAGTTTTCATCCCATTCCCACGATCTTGGAATTGTTGAAAAGCTAATGCAATTATCTGTAACTTTCGTGTTGACAAGTCTAGGTGAATCTCATTGCACGAGCCACAATTTTTGTGTTTATTTTGTAGTTTGTTTTATTATTATCATTTGAAGATTGCATACATAACACTTAATTCCTTACATATCTACTACCAAAACATCAATTTTTTACTTATATATGACATCTTAACTATGCACTTCTAAAATGTGATATAAATTATTTGGGCGGTATAAATGTCAAAATTAAAGTTTAGGTATTAGATTTGTAAATACATAGCAAGTTGGTGTTAGATTTGTTTAATGGCTGGCATATGTCCACTATAAACCATGTGGTGATTGTGTTTTGAGCCCAGCAACAGTTGGAGGCACCAGCTTATTTTCAGTAACAACAAATGCTTTTGGTGTCTTCAGCTTCAATTTGATCAGTGAAGAGACTAGTAGAAAGAAGTTAATATCAATATTTTAAAGCATAACATTTAATTATGTTGGTTATTAGAGTCCATTTATCCCCTTGAATTTTCTTTCTTAGAGTAGCGTGATGGAGACTCAGGGTGCGTTTGGGGCAGTTTGTGCGTTTCAGGATAAGCAGCCCGCAGGTCGGCCGCAGGGGTCGACCCGCGGTGTGCGTTTAGTGTAAGAACCCAAACGCAGTTTCGGATAAGCTGGCGAAAAGCGCGAACCAACGGTACGACGATGTTTTGAAAACGCCGCCCGCACTTATAAACTGTCCCAAACGGACCCTCAATTTGCGCTGAACCTCCAACTTCTTGAAACTCTTTTTCTCACTTTGCCCCTAAAAATATTACATGCCGAAGACTTTGTAAATGCGTGTACTCTTTTAATCAACATGTAAGGATGCCACACTTAACATTCTCTCCATGATATGGGCATTTTGTTAGGACTAACGACATGTGAAGAATTAGAAGAATTCTCAACATAGCTCAGTATCATTGTATCTTTAATGTAATTCACAGCTGTTTTGATTCTGATGAGCCAAAGATAGAATTTTAAATTCATCATAACAACTATATATTTACATTTAAGCCAACCAATTAATCATCGTTCAAGATCTTTATATTTTAAAATATCACTATAACTTTGAAATTCACATGCAAATATTCAGATATATTTTTTTCATTAGTCTTTGCAATTGTGTTTATAATATTTTTTTATTTGACTTTTCTGGAAGAAGCAGTAAATTCAGGCAAGCTCCTCCGGGAGCTAAGTGATTAATATACACGTAGATAGTGACCTGCTACCTAAAATACCTTGGCCGACACCTCTTCGATGACCCCGAAGATTCACCTACTAATTTACGTCTAAAAATCGCTCGCTACTGTAATTATATTAATGCCCGCAACTAATTCACAAAGGCTTTGATAGAGTGCATATAGGGCTGCCAAAACAGCTCGTTGTTTGCGAGCAGCTCGTGTTCGGCTCGTTCGCTAAGTTAATGAGCCGAACGAACAAATATTTGTTCGTTCATGTTGGGTTAATTTTGGCTCGAAAATATATATATATATATATAATTTATTTGCCTACAAGACTACAATGATTTATAATTAATTAAAACTATTAATTAAGAAAATAGAATAAAAATTATTAAATTAGATTCAAATGGTGTTTTAAATCTTGTCACAATCTTTAACATCTTATGACTACATGATTAGGGTTGTCAAAACGACTTTTTTTTCGTGAACGACTCGTGTTCGGCTCGCTATACAAATGAGCCGAACACAAACACACTTTTTGAGCTCGAAATATGAACGAACCGAATGCTCGCTCCGCTCGTTTACACCCCTAAATGCTTAAATAACATATTTGGTCGGAAAAAAATAGCACTGATAGTCTGTTAAGCTACTTCGGGCATTTACATACATACCACCCAATTCGCATGACATCTAAAATAGTTTGAATTATAAGAATTACTGTCTGCACTTTATATAATCATTAGAATTATTGGTGAGGATTGAACTTTTGCACAGTAAACATTGCATTATTAGCTAAATTCGAGCTATGAAAACTTTTACTTTTGAAATGCAAATTTATTTAGGTAGCAAGTATTGTACAATCAATTTTGAATTGATCTATTCGAGAACTGCTAAAGTTGGATTAATTTTTAAATTGAGGATTATATATGTGAGTTAGTTAAATTATAGTGAATGATTTTAGGGGCATTTACATACGTACCACCCAATTCTTATGTATTTACATATCTAACATTTAATTAAACTTTACTTTCATGTGTAGATAATGTGGTATATATATATATTTAAAAATTAAAGTTTGTGTTAGATACGTAAATAAATAATAATATTTAAGTGGTATGTATGTAAATCTTCTATGATTTAATGAAATACTTGAAGCTCATGATATCAATATAAAAATAAATGAAGGGAGGATGATAGCTCACAACATTTTTGTGTTGTCGATGAATATTAAATAATAATAAAATTTAGGTGGGCGGATCACGGCGATATCATTATGTATGCATGAATAGGTCAGCATGCTAATTTGATAATTCTATCCTTGCTATGATCTAATTCATTATTGAGCACAAAGATAAAGAAAAACAATAAATCAAATTTAATACAATTCATTTCTAATTAATAAAAAAAATGAGAAAAACTAGATAAAAAATTAAAATAAGAATTGTAGTTGATTCACTTTCTATGGCTATTCATTCTAATTTCTCGGGGGTGGATTTCATTGGTATTTTGTTTGATCTCACTCTTTGTAAGATCTATTTGGATTGTCATGGCGGTTTGATGGCCAGTGATTTTGTTTTCGTTTTCTAAATCATTGGTGATGGCTGAGCTCTTTTTCTCCTCTTCTTTCTTGTTCTGAATTAATTTTTTAATTTTCCCCCCTGATTTTCGGGTTTTTTAATTTTTTTAGCTGTTCTAGTTTTCATTCTTATTGTTGGTTTTATGTTGTATTCTATTCTTGTAGCCTTTGTATTTTTCAATATTTTCTGTCACCCTTGTTTTAGTTGGTAGGATATCTTTTTTAGGTTTTTATACTTAGTTTTTGTATCTCTTTTTTAAGTTATGCTGTTTTTTTATTATAGCTTAATTGGTATGGTAGTTGTTGATGTAGTGATTGTTTAGTTTTATTGTTGTTTATTTTAGTTCTATCTGTTTTTAGATATCTCTGGTTGTTATTTTTTTAGGTGGTTGTTTTTTTTTTGTTAGGAGTTCTTTTTTCCAGTTAAAGATGTTGTCTTTTTTTGTTGAATTTTCTTTCCGTCTTTGGTTTCCTTTTTTATACTTCTCTTTAGCTTGGAGTTTTATATTGTTTTTAGCTTTTGTTGGTTAGTTTTTCGTTGGTTTTGGTTTTCCTAGATGCTTTTTAAATCTCTATTTTTGTTTCATTGCTGCTTAGAGTCTTTTTTCTTATTGGTTGTTTGGAGGAGATGTTGTTGAGAAGTTGCTAATTAGTTATCTTGATGTTTAATTTTGAAGACAGTTGTATGGAGATGTTGCTATTGAAGTATTTGTTGTTTTGTTTTCTTGATGCTTAATTCCATAGAAGGGGTTCTCTTGTTGTTGTTTTGAGTGGAAGTTGTTGGATTTGATTGTTGGGACCTTTATATGGTTGATGCTTTGAGAGTTTCACTTCAGATGTGGTAGTCTAGAGAAACAGTTTTTCACTGTTTTGGTGATAGTTGGATGTTGTTTTGAGTTAAGGTTGTTGATCGTATTTTGTTGATTTATGTTATAACGTTGATTATGTTGATTTATGTTTTATCTTTTTGATTGGGTTGTTTATGCATGTGTTATTTTTAAGTTGTGTTGTAACTTTTTTTTTCCCTTCT